GGAGAGGATTGTCATAACACAATGATATGCTAATAGAGAACTCACTAAATGAATACTAATCCAAGTGTCATGACGTCTCTTCCTCGTCACAAGTGGAGACTTGTACCGTGGTTAGACAATTCCATGGCATCACATAGTCAACAAAAATTTAAACAAAAGTACTTCCCACAACCTGGGACAAGCTTCAAACAAAAACTTCAAAGATAGAGAAGCACACCAATAAATTTGAATATGTGCATTCAGGAACTTAAAAGGAAAAAAAAAAACCCACGCGAGGAATCCCTTAGGTCTCTCTAAGGTCCACAAACAACCCTAGCACTCTTAGCCACTTTGATGAGTATTACCTGAAAATGAGTACTCGAAAACGTCAACATAATGCTGGTGAGCTCGTAGGTTTAAATAACAAAAGAGGATTTGCTGTGTGTCGAGAGCGTTTAGGACAACAGTGTATATACATATATCGCAATTCAGCACTAATACATAGGAATAATWGTATAACCAATTTAGTCATACAACAAGAACATGATAGGTTTCCAAACATGTCATCTACCAGCTGGAGCTACACCGTTGGCTTAATAGGAATATAGGAATCACATCTCATATAGGAATCAAAACTAGTACTTTCATTGTAATAGTAAACACACAAATTGTCCAAATAAATAAAAGAAAAGGGTTCAACACAGCTTAAAAACAGTTAAATAGCTTTTGGGTATCATTTTCCCCCAAAAGAAGTATACAAGTAAAAGGGGCCACGAAACTCACCTGTGTGTGGATGGTATTAGGTATGCGAGAGGTCAAGCAAGTAATCTACAATAAAACAAGGGTGTGTGTGAGCTACACATGGCCATGGCTTAAAACCTTACCATTGTAATCTCGTAATCGATRGAATATACATGATCGGCCTGGTATTTCTAAAGGACAATTTTACCAAGCGTCGTAAAACTATAAGTCAATTAGTTGTGGGTAGTCATCTCGACCTAAGTATCAATGGTTTGCCCAAGTTTTATAAGTTTGGTTTCTTAACCGAAATTTTAGGTTACTTCAAGAATTTTTCCTATACCTTAAATGAATTAGACAAGGTTCCAAAATTTAATGGTAGAGACTTCCGAGTATTAGGTATTTTCAGAAATTTTCCTTAATTTTAATTAATGTTTTACTAATTTAAAAAAAATATATATGAAAGTACAAGTCAGTAAACCATTCTGTTTTACGCAACATAAAGTTATATACAAAATAAAATACTTAAAGACCTCCAAAAATTTTGAAATTTTTACAGAGACTAATAGACATATTGAACTCAATCCAGAAAAAGTTTTACCAAAGAATTCGAAAAAAAGAGGGAGTTGTGAGGCACCCAAAACGTCCTAAATTCTGACAAAAAATTCCAGCTTTGCGACCCTGAACGGTAAAGGCTTTTTGACCAAGTTAATTTTGTTGTTTTGACACGAAACTACTTGGAACAGAAAGTAGACTCATCGAAATTGAACCTAGACCCAAAATTCGTATTTTATCNAGAAAGTAGACTCATCGAAATTGAACCTAGACCCAAAATTCGTATTTTATCTCCATGTTGTGACTGAGATACGGCCTCTCCAACTCAACACATTTTCTGCCCAGATTCTGGAATGGATCAAGCGACATTGTTTTTACTAAACAACCACACCAAGGACTCTATTATTAAACAAGACTCATCAAAATTTATTCTTTTATAAAATCTAAATGTTTTTAATCAAAAATATATTCCATCCATTTGAGTTACATTAACAATCGAATGAAGACCATGAAGACGATAGAAAGACAAACAAAGTGAAGGTTCTTACCAACTCAACGATTTGTGATAAAGATATCACTTGTAGGCTTCAAGAACAAAGCTTTGAATAATCTTGATGGTGATGATGACTCTTGGCCAAGCAAAAGGAGAGAAAAAAAAAGAGAGAGAATGATGTGTTTTGATTTTTCTTAGGAATGAGAGTAATTAGGGTTTAGAAGGAGATAAGGAAGTGTTGAAGATTATCAACAACTTATATATTTAAATTTTGAAATTCCATGGATAATTATATATCTATACTATATTATAAAGCATTTGGTTAAAACTCTTAAAAACTCTTAAACTCTTAAAACTCTTAAAGACAACATCTATTGCTAATGGTACAACTTGTTAAAGTCATCCTAAACCCGTTCATCCCTAAACGATTTCATCCCTATCCGATTTCATTCATATCCTATTTCATCAAATACAKGATAAACATCTCATTTTAAATATAAAAAATCTAAAATATAATTATGATAATTATTGAATTCTAACAGAATACTTAATTATTATCTTTATAAAATTTATAATATTAAACAAAAAATAAATTATTTCATTATTAAACTTAAATTAAATTATAATAAAAAAATAAATTACATAAATTAAATAAAAAATGAGAACTTTTAAATAGTTGATTTGATATTAACATTGATATTTTTTTT